GTTATTGACCGACCTGGCATTAAGCAACAGCACCGTCAGGCCCGAGGGGCGACTGACAAGACTCCCTGGCACCCTCTGGCTGGGAGCAAAACCAGAAGTAGGGACAGGTGTCAGCCATCTGTCCCTCCTTCTTCTATGCGGACACGTTAAGCTCCCACCGCTGTTACGTCCTCTGCCCATCACCACCCCAATGGCCGCGCCGGTGCGCTCCCCAGGAAATGCAAGCGGCAGCATGGCCAGGGACGACTCCAAAAGCCGCCCCGAGGTTTCGGCAAGGGGCGGCATAGAAATGTTATAATAATAATAATAATAATAATAATAAAACAATATAAACACTATAAAATTATAAAAACATTTAAAAAGATTCAGCGCTCTGCAGGAGGGCCTAACACAACGAGAGTGAGAGCCCCCTGACCAGCCCAGCCCAGCCCAGCCCCCCGAATGGCCCCCCCAAACGGTGGCAACCGTCCTTTGGCTGACGCCCTTCGGCCGCCGGCCCCGGGCTCCCGACGTCCCGCCTCGGCCGGCACGCCTCGAACGCGTGCAGGGGCGTGGCAGAACAGCCAGGTGGGTGGTGGAATGGCGGGCGGCGCGGCGCGGTCTACTCAGCGTAGGCTGAGGCGCTGCAGTTCTTCTCAGGCGTCGACTGCCGGTGCGCAGTTGTTGCTCCCGCTGGGCTCCCCCCATTACTAATTTGAATACTGATATTTAATTGCCACAAGGTTGTATACATTTGGTTTGTATTCATTGTTATGAATATATACAGATCCATGTATTTATATTAAGAAATGGACAGATTTTTTAAAAGGTTTCCAGGAGTTTCTGGCTGTCATGTTGCTTACATGGCTTACATGGTTAGTTTGGATTACTTTCTTTTTCTTGTGCTCCTAGATGTTGTGAGGAAGCCCCATTGCTGAGTGCAGGTACTTTAGAAAAGGCCCTTTCCTTGCAGATGAGGCAAGGTCTTTGACTCAAAGTTCTTTGCTAATATACCTTGCCACTCTTTTGAAAAATTTCTGGCAAAGGGTGAACATTTGGGTTGGAATAGAAAGGTCTGCAAAATAGGAAGGTCACTGGAAATAATTGCGAGAGTGATTATCCCATTGCAGTGGTAAGAGATTAAGAATGTAATCATTTGCTCACTTACCTAAGAGCTAACGCCTTTGAAATCATAGGATTAAATGCATTGGATTGTACTATATCAGTCACCAAGAGTTATTTAACTCTTGCCTGTAGTCAGGGGCTGAATATACAGGATGGTACCTGGGGGCACTGTAGCTTGTTGTGCGAACAGCAGATGGATAATCAGATGGATGTTCAGATCCATGTGCCAAATTGTCCAGTAACTTGAAATGATGATTCTGTGAAATAAATACATGGAGGCTCTTCCAAATCCAAATCAGGCAAGCATCATTTCACTTCAAAATGGTGCTGATATGTGTGAGATGGAGCCCCTCCTTTAGAAGGGATGGATACTTGCTGAGGAGATGTAAGAGCCCCCAGGGCACCTACATTCCAGCCATGTATGCCTTTGTGAATGGGAGTTTTGGTTCTCGCTATCAGTCCCTCCCTGCAATCCGAAAGACTTATGTCCATGATCCATGCTGAGGATCACTACAGTGACCTCCCTGCACTACCCCTTGGGGGTAATTGCACAGCTTCCCTAAATGTCCTTCCTGTGATGGTTTAGTCCTGCTCTGTCTTTCCCTTCTCTCTCTCCTTTCTTTTGTTCATCTTGCCCCTAGGCCTCAGGCAAGCATATGCACTTGCCAAGTGAACAGTCTGTCTCTGTTTGAGGAGGACTGAAAAGTTGCACTCTTGATTTTCCAGAAGACTCAGTGTGACAAAGATGAAGAACTTGTTGCACACAAGGGGTTGTTTTTTGTTTTTTGCCTGAACTGAGCTGTGGGCGTCTGTGTTGTTGGTGCTGCTGTCTTTCTGTGAAATATTGGGTGGAACTGAAAGGCCTTAGTCAACAAAATGACTGCCTTTATCTTTCTTGCCCAAAGAATAGCTAGCCAGGACCAGAACTCTCATTTGTAGGGTATGATCCACCAAGGGTCATTTAGAGGTTGGTGGGTCGTAGAGAGTGTAACAGGACTCCGTTTGCATCATGCATATCAGAGCCTCTCAGGCGGCATATTGAATTAGGGAAGGATTAGAACTCTTCTGAAGTTGTTTATAATGGAGCTTTCCAAATTCCATGACTTCCTGGCCAGGCCATGTGGATGAGACACAAGTCCAGCTGCTGTCAGAGTACTGAATGCGTAAAGAGCCAATATCATATCTACCTTGAGGCCCATCCCTTTCTGGCACGTGTGCCTCACTAAAAACCCCTTGCAAAGAAGCACAATTTTTACAAGAAACCCTCACATCTGTCTCTGTGTTGCTTCTTACCACTGTGCTTACATTAGCCCACAGGAACATGGTGGGCCTGCAGACTTTATAGCATGGATGTGTTTTGATTGTTCATGGCTGATGGTTCCCTAGCATAGGTATGATTCAGTGATACTACACTTCCCACATGTTTCAAGTGCAAATGAGTGTAACTATACTTTGCATACATGTAATAGCCTGAGGAGGATGAGAGGGTAGGGAGGGTCTTATTGTAGGATGATGTCTGTCCTATACAGCTCTTTGTCTGCCTTAAAAAGGATTTGGCTAAATGAGCCCTTCAGCACAGGAGGGGAGAGAGCATTTATCTTCAGAGACTGAAGCATAAACAAAAAGTTCCTAAAATGGCAGGGCATTACTATAAGTGTAAAAAAGGTGGCTCTCAGATTTTAACTTTATTTCATGTCTTCCTCACTTTCTACTCTATTTTTAACATAAAAAGGGATGTTCCTCCACTGGAATTCTAGAACAGAAACACATATAAACTCCATTTTTTTTAAGCAGAAAACATTCTCAAAATTGGGTGCAGGAATTATTTTTCTCCTGTCTAACTGCCTCCCCAAAATGCCAGGTGCCTGTAATAGTGGTGGAAATATATTGCCAACAACATTGATTGCAGTGCCTGATGGAAGTAATCACATTTTCTGAATTACACTCTATTAGTCAAGATCCCAAGAACCTGAAATTAGTTCTGTGCACTGAAGGAAGCATTGGGCTTGTTTCCTCAAACAGCATGCAGTCTGTGTCTCCTGCCCTTCCCCCTCACACACCATGGGTTTGCTTGAGGGAAGTTCCATGCAGAGTTTGTGGCACAGTGTAGGGTCAGATGTGACACTATCAGCAGGAGTGTGACCTTGGCTTGAGATGGAGGAGATCTAAGGATAAGCATAACAAATAAGAAACAAATACACATTTATTGCAAAATAAATGGATGATGCAGAATGCCCAGAACACCACTTAGCACCTGAATCTGACCTCTGCTTAGATGTGCTTCAGCCCTGTGGTGCTGGGACAGAAGGCTCTATGCCTTTGTTTCTGAGTCACACTGTCATCTTGGGGAGAAGCTGGTTCAATGTCTCTTTTTTCCTCTTCCCCTCCTTCA